CAAGAAGAACCCACTGATACTGAACCTTCATATCATTGTCTTCATGGCTAATAAATACCACAGCCACCAGATACCCCAGCACTGTTCCTCCTCCTGTACTTTATTGTGAGAGACCTCTGATGATCTCTAGAATAATTTTGTCCTGGTGTTTGGTGCTATTCCTCCAAGAATGAGCTTAACTCTGTCATACACCCTGATCCTATCATCCCATTTTAAAAGTGTGCTGGTATTGTGTTCCCCAAAATATTGTGCACCCTAATAAATTTATCTGGGGTCAGAGACAGAACAGCCACTAGATACAAAGGCTAGAAAATGGTGGCACTCACACCTTTAATCCTAGCATTCCAGAGGCAGAAATCTGTCTGGATCTCTGTGAGTTCAAGGCCACATTGGAAACAGCCAGGCATGGTGGTGACACACGCCTTTAATCCCAGGGAGTGAGCCTTTAATCCCAGGGAGTGAGGGCAGAAAGATATATAAGGCTTGAGGACCAGGAACTAGAAGCATTTTGGCTGGTTAAGCTTTCAGGCTTCGAGCAGCAGTTCAGCTGAGAACCATTCGGATATGAGGACACAGAGGCTTCCAGTCTGAGGAAACAAGATCAACTGAGAAGTTGGCCAGATTATGCTACATAAAAGTTTCATTTCTGGCTGTGTAAGTGGAGTTTAAGGGCAGAACCTCAGTCTATAGCAGCCCCAACAAATCAGGCTCAGTCACCCAGACACCAATTAAAGATACGACTAATGTACTGGGGAAGATAGCACACATCTTCAATCCCAGCATTTGGGAGGCAGAGGTAGGTGGAGCTCTGTGAGTTCGAGGCCAGCCTGGCCTATAAAGCAAGTTCCAGGATGGCCAGGCTGACATAAAGAGACCTTGTCTCACAACAAGCAAACAAGAAGATATGGGTTAGGGCAAAACTTATCACTGTGTAGGACGAAGGACAAATAAGGTGATTCAGTGACCCCAAGCTCAGAGGTACTGATATGAGCTTTAAGCTTAAAAAGAGTAAGAGCTGGGATGGAGAAACAAGAGGTTATGCAATTTAGCAATCCTGGTCAAGATGTGGTCCTGCCTATCAGTTGCTCAGCTTTGGTTCTGCATGATGATGCAACAAATGACTTGTGTATCAGCTGCTGTCATTGTCCAAGAGGGCCAGCTGTGTTCCTGTACCATTATTTATGACCTTCATGTATCTATTGATAATATCAAGAGCAAACCATTAACTTAAGTCTTCTTCATGTAACATGAGAAATAAGATGTGTTTTTTCCTGGCTGGAGAGATAGCTCAGTCAAAAAAGCTATGGGAACATGAAGTCCTGAGTTCATTCCCCCAAATCTATGAAGAGGCCTAATTTAACATTAGTGCATCCATGACAGGCTGCAAACTAATAGTACTGGGGCTAGGCCTCACCCTTACAATAACCAGGAAAAGCCACAAATGGTACCCTGTGGGAGACCAATCAGAATTGAGACAAACAAGTACTAGATGCTCCAGAGCATTAAGGATAGCTTACATCACTGATGGAGAGCCCAAGCTTTGAGCTTGCAATAAAGGCTTTTTGCTTTTGCATAGGAATTCAGACTCCTGGTAGCCTCTGGGGGGGCTCATGACACAGGCATAACATTTACATTTTTTTTTAAAAAAAAAAACCCACAAGTACGATCGATTACACATACTGGAGCTTGTTGGCCAGTCAGCCTAGCCTACTGGATAAGCTTCAGGCCAGTGAGAGATCTTGTCTCAAAAGGCAAATTGCACACCTCGGGTGGTCATAGGATGCAGAAAAGTCAAGATACGGGTAATGTGGAAGCTTCTTTCTTGCTAACTAACCCTCACAGGGAATCGAACCTGCTTTCTGCTGGAGAACTGTCACCAACAGTCTCATTCAGTTGTGGAACCTGCATGTGACATTAATAACTAGCTGGGCAAGATGTGCCCACTGGTGCAAGGGTGGCATTTCTGTTGTGAGGGTAACCAACCACTTTCTGACTGGATTTTATGCCCATTCCATCAGAGAGAATTCACATCTGGTGCTGCAGGCCCAGCCAAACCCCCATGTCTGTGGAGATCGTAAGCCATAGCAGGGAAGCTACTACTGATATTTTGCTAAATGGACATGATCTCCATGTCTAATTGCCTTCAAATGGTCCAGTTGGTACTCATACATTACCGTGGCTGTCATTTTGGGCAGAGAAGCTTTTTTATTTGTAGTGAGCAGCAAAACTGCAGAGATTCGTTACTGATCAAAGTGCTAAGAATAAGCGTCTGTGGCATTCAGTCATAAATGGGATATGTTCGTCACCCCCATAAAGACGTCACAGAAGTGTAAAGAATCTAAGTGCTACAAGAAGGTATTGAGTGCTGCAGACTGTTGTGTTCATGGTCACTCTAGGAGTATCTGCAAAACTTTGAGATCAACATCACCCTGTCACAGAGGAGAGAGGGACTCTCAAAGCCCCATCTCTCCCTGAGGATCTAACATCAGCTAATTATCACTAGAGGATGGAGAAAAACTTTTTTCAGTGGTGTAGCCGCTGATGGGATGCCCATGGCCCTGTAATGACCCAGCCCTTGTTCTGTAAGTAACTCCAATGAAGCTTATTGAGCCTCTAAAAGGAGACAAGGAAGTAGAAGAGGGACTAATCAGGAAGAGGAGGGAGAAGAGTGGGAGTGAGACAGAGGACAAGAAGGTATGGAGGGTGACTATGACAAAAGCATGCTGTATACACACATGGAATTGCCATTTCTAAACAGGTAGGGCTACAGAGTGAGATCTAGTATCAAAAAATAATAATAAACAATAAAAATAAACTGAAACTCATTACTGTGTGATTACTATATGCAAATAAAAAATATTTTAAAGAGAACCAACTTGATGTCTCCTGAGGAACAAAGAGCAGATGGCCAAGCCTGGTATCCATGAGAATTCCTCAAAGTAGGGACCTTTGTACTGAGTCCAGTAACCCAAGAGAAGAGTGAGGCCTTTAACCACCTCCCTAGGCTTTCGGTCTCTGTGATGTCATTTTACTCTCGGCTGCTGTTGTGCTTCTGTATCAGGTTCCCTTCTGTGGACCAACTGTTCTGCTAAAGCTGCATGTTCTCTTTGGTATTGCTTGTTGGCAGGAGTCTGTTTCTTAGGATTCCTTTCAGAAACACCTTTGAATTCTGTCTTGTGTGTTCACTTGTTTTGTGGAGTGTGTTTCTGACTAAATTGCTCAATTAAGCTATTTCTATGCTTCTTGTTAAATTCGGTCTGCTGCTTCCAGATCGATTTCACTTTTTCCAAGGTCTGTTCAGTTCTTTGTTACTCTTAGATACTTATTTGACTGGACTCGGACTTAAAGGTAGAAGTTCTCAGTGAGGACAGCCTATGTCTCTTGCAACCCACTCCTGACATTTTTCTTTGGCTTCCTTCATTCTCTTGGCCAAGAGTTTAGCAGATCTGCAGCCTCCTCCTTGGTTTTCTTAGTGCGTCGTATCTCAGAGCCATAGGTCAGCATTTGTGTTGTAGGTCACATGGAGTAACAAGATGCTGAATCTTGGGTGCTTTGGTCCTGGGCTTCTTAACCTACTTTGTTTAAGGGCTTTCTGACAACATATTGGTTGGCATCATCTTCTTTCGAGAGAGAAAAAAAAGCTTTCTGTTTCTGCTAGGTCTTTTAGGTCCCAACAGACAAGGCACAGTAGTATCTGTCATTTCAGGAATATCCTTCTCTGTCTCTCTGTCTCTCTCAACAACTGTATTGAGAATACTCAGATTGGCATCCACAACGCTTCTTTGAACAGACTTGTGCTCCAGTTTTCCTTGGTCTGTAACAAGAATGTCCCTTAATAAACAGCAAGAGCACTCTACCATGGGTCAAAATGCCTTGCTTCATGGGAAAACATCGTCATTCCCACCACTGGTTTAGACCACATAACCCTTTCCACTCTTCACCCAGAACATCAGCAGCTACTTCTGTGGCTATGTGATTCTCATAGACTATACAAAGCTTGCCTTCATTGTCCACTTCAGTGAGTTTCTGACAGCTGATGGCTGGGAAGGAGATATTCAGCTCCATCGCAACACCTTGTCATTCTTAATGTCTTCACAACCAGTGAAACAATAATTCCAAAATATTTTCATCTCTCTTTCTTCAATTGCCTTTCTGTTTCACTTCTCGGTACTTAATACATTATCATCACTCTTTTTTTCTGTAGACGTATTCCATAAACCATTTCTGTTTCTTTCTTTTTTTTTTGGTTTATGCAACTTTATTGAAGAAAAATAAATCAATTACTAGGAGAGTTATTAGTTGATCACTCATCCATTGACAACTCACATCATTTATTCAGTGCTATATTGAACAGTATTGGAAGATAGATTAACTAATAGCTCCAAGCCTCCTAATAATTTAAATGAAAATTACAAAATGTTTTGAGACCCTATTTTGGAATACAAAGGGTGTTTGACTTCCAATTTACATTCTCTGTAGAACAAGAACAGGTCATTCCTTTATTGACATGCATAAAATACATCACATTTTCTGTTCTGCTGATGCTGTAATTCAATCTCAATTCTCCAGCCACATCAGTTATGAGCATAACGTATATCATATAACCTCAAATCTCCAACAGTGGAAGGCTTAAACAAGTATGGATGCGCTAGAATAATGCTTCCTTTGATGTGACAGCTGAGCATCCATCTCCCTCCCCCTCAGATGGTTTCTTCAGCATGTTAGAGCAGTGAGGATTGGTTTAGTCTCATACCAAGTTAGAGTGAAGACATTGGCCACATGATACACATGCTCCAGTTTTAAAAAAAATTTCTGAATCTTGGGCAATTGTTCTCTTGTTAACTACTTTACAGTTTCTAAAAGCAGTTATTGTCCAAAACTGGAAGAACTTAAGTCTTCTCAGATGAGCATGTGAATGAATGGAGGCAGGTAAACAAAAAATAAAATTAAAAAAGATAAGGTCTGATAGGGGAGCAGCTGGATAAGAAAATCAAAAGAGGAACAATAATTTAAAGTTTATTCCAGCTATAATGCAGGTTATTCTGACTTTAAGGTAGCATCACATGGCATACTTCTGAGTCCATTCCCGAGATATTCTGTTGTACTTATCTCTGTCCATTTTATAGATCTGTGTAATCTCTGGCACTAGGGGGTCATCTGGGTTTGGATCACATAGCAGTGAACAAATGGATAAAAAAACTTTAGAAATAGTTAAAGCAGGAGACCACTGTGATCTTAGAATATCAAGACAAATGCTGCCATTACTGTTAATATTTGGATGATAAATTCTTGTTGTAAATGCAACCTTAGGTGGTTTGAAGGGGTAGTCTGTAGGAAAATGAATTGTCAAAAAGAATACACCACCTTGATATGGGCTGTCATTAGGTCCCATAATTGTGGCTTGCCAATGAAACATGTCATCTCCAACCGGACCTGCAGAACATTGTGCTGGAGGGTCATGGGGGAAATCATTAAGTTCCTTATTAATCCATTTCAGCGCCATAGTCTGTGCTTTTCGCCGGGCTCTTCACTATCCCGATGTGTACTCAAAGGTCCGGCCAAAAGTCTTGATCAGCCCCACGGTGAGGAAGGATTGTCTCTTCTCACACCGGCTCTGCCAGACACAGGCGAACAGAGGGGCCAGGGCTTCCTGGAGCTGCAGCCTCGGCCTCCTCCCTGCACGGCAGCTGGTGCCTCCCCGGCCCTATGGGGCTCATGCGCACAACACCCCATTTCTGTTTCTGAAAGGCATTCAATGGCAAGGAAAATAGCCAAGGCAGATTTTCCTAGAGACATTTACATTTAGTCTTCTTCACCTGAAGGAAAACTCCCGAGATAAGCTTTTCTATTTTAGGAGGAGAAGATGGCCAAGATTCTGTGCATGGGCCAATGAAACCCATGTTCCATGTCCACAGAAAACACTGATAAGTAATTGAAGACTAAAGCCACTAAATAATTCCTTCCCTTCAGGGGTACCAAGGAGATAAAATGCATAAGAGACTCTGAGAAGGATGCCAACACCCCTAAATGTGTTTGCCAAGAAGGAAACACTGATTATTGGATACGATGGTATTTGTGGCCATGGACCAGACAGCAGACCACAATTTAGATACAAAGCAGCTAATAGCAGAGCCACCAGCATGATGTGATCTCATATATCTATAGGAAAATACCATTCAAAATGTGTCAATATTGATTATATATACAGTTTGATATAGGAAGTAGAGATCTGTCACATGACTCTTAGTGACATAGGTGGTCAATACATAGTAAATTTTATATAGATTTATATATAAATAATCAAACAATAAGGGAGTTGGCATTTTGGCTCAGTGTTAGAGCACTTCCACAGCAAGGGCAAGGCCTCACCCTGGGTTCAGTCCTCACCTCTGAATAAAATAAAAATGGTAAAATAAGTTAATACCTCCTAAGTGTTGACTATGTGCCGGGCACTATTTTAAGAATGTATATAATTAAAAAATACATACTATTTTAAGAATTATATACAATTCATTCAATTATTTTATCTTCATGAGGGTGTGTTTATTCTTATTACTGTTCCCATTTCATTGGTATATAAGTAAACAAATGTTGGCCCAAGGAAGCTATAAACAACATGTGTCAAAGTCAGCAATTGGTGATCCAGCCTAGGCTCACAGTATTCACCACCACTTTCTGCAGAAGGCAGTGGCCTCTCTGCAACAGGAGGTGCTAAATCACAGGACAACAACCATTACTAGGGCTACTACAAAGGTGATGTATATACAAAGTGGTCTAAATGTCCGTAGACTCTTTCCATCTCTCAGAATCTGGAAAATCTGGAGATCTGCCATCAGTGTGCTACCTGAAAGAAAGCATAGCTGCGCTCTAGTGCCTCTCTGGTCAAATCCTAGTGAGAAGATGAATTGTGATTTTTCTTTCTTTGAGACACTAAACAGCAGAAAGACCTATGTACAGGCTTGCAGAAATATCAGATCTCAATTATACCAGGGTCCTTACAACTCCCAAGCAGAGTTCCTAAAAGAGTCTGAATAGCAGAGGTAGAGAAATCCCAACAGAGAGGCTGGCATAGGTCAGCCCAGAGCTTGAACCTTGGGGACACTCTCTCCAGGAAACTCCCAATCACTCCTGAGAGGCACTGTGTCCCTTAAGAGCATGCAGAGGAGTTTCTATGAGGCTCAACAATTACTGTGACTTGGATCTGAATGAAGACACGAGACAGTGATGGTTCAGGGGACTTTATGGCCTGCTGGCAAGTTCCCAGTCTTATTGCTAAGATCCATCTGGCTGCAGTTTGGAGGGTCTCTCCTCCTCAGGTTTCATCCAGGACAGTACTTTCTGTTCCTTCTGCTCATGGTTCAGAAATTGGGAGCTCATTCTTTCAAACCATCCCATTCTCATCTCCATCTAAGCAGAGCCCCAGGATGCTGCTCTGAGCATGCCTGCACCCAGGTGCTAATGTAGCTGCTTGCAAAGTTCTACTTGTGGAACAAGAGTGAAGGCCACATGGCCAGGATGTCTTATGACAATGTCTGTGGACTTCAGGTAGATCTGAGAACATTGGAGAGAGAATACTTATAATGGCTTGATGGAGCCACACAGCAGCAGTAGCTGTACCATGGCCATGCTCTTTCTGGACCCACATAAAGTCCCTACAAGGTAAGTAGAAATCATCATTTCTTTTTTTCCACATCACACATTGGGTGAAATGCGTCATCAAAGGTCATACAGAGAGGTAAGATGGACACAAATCTCAGCCTGACTCTAAAACCTGAGTTCTGAAGATCCAATAGACAAATGGCAGACTGAGAGAATTCCTGCTCTGCTACATGTTCCCTGGGGCTTTGTCCATGAACACAGGGCTGGGAAAGGGTAGTTGTGATTTGGTTATTTCTACTTCTTGAATTGTGTTGTGTGTCATGGACATATGCTGTCCAGCCATGCAAATGCAGGGTCTTATGAGAGGAACTACAAAGATGTATCTGCTCCAACTATTTGCAGCCTGGCAGTGGTCCCTTTGCAGAGTCAAAGTCTCAAGGAGTGGGGCTGCTACAGAAATCTGCAAACACTTGAAGCATGTTTCTTTGGCCTTGTCTCTTGCACCCAGATGAGATGGTTAAGCAATTGGTCTCACCTGTCCTTGCAAAATTTTCCTCAGTACCATAGTTCATGTCAAAGCCCAAACACTCTCCAGGGTTGTAGATATTAGTGGTGAGCTGTGTGTGAGACTGAGGCCTTCTAGGAAATTCAGGCCTCTTTTTGTTGATGTACATCCCTCTCTTCTCCCCAACAGTACAAGGTTCATTTTGCTTCTTGCCTGAGTTTCTACAGAAATCACCTATCTGCCCTGATAGAACTCTAACATCTGGTGCCATGGACCTCCATGCCTAGCCCCTACACTCACAAACCACTCTCCTTTTATTTTCTGTTTATCTGTTGATAACAAAAAATATCAACCTTTTGGGTTGCAACTTTTTCTTATATTCTTGAACTGTGTATTTGTTTATAATTACACATTTTTCCATCATTAGTCAGCATATATGCTCAAATACTTACATTAACATTAAATAAAGGGCTGACTATCTCTTTTCAGAAAGAGTTAGTGGGAACTACATCCAGTGTGCTAATACTTATAAATAGCAATTACTGAATAAAGCCCTTGCATTGGCTCAAAACCTTCCACAAGACAAACACACAGATTTCTTTTCTATGTCAATTCCTTCTTAGTCTTCAGCCTCATCTGTATCCCTGCCTCGATTGGTTAATGTTACCATCTACTGTCTGAATTTCTGTCCTCAAGGCTTTCTCCACAATAAGAAACTTGAGTTTCATCTGCGAGTTAATGGTTAGAGTGAGCTAGTTGGAAAAAAAACCTCTGCCTTGTACGCAACACACCTGCATGTTATGAGCATATTTTTAGTTCTATAAAGAGCCATCTCTGCAAACAAGCCTGGTTAAGCAAAGGAGAACACAGATAAGAAAAGAGGATATTTGATGGAAAGGGTTACAAGACCAAGAAAGGTTCACTGCAGGACTGTAGAGGCCACAGTGTGCTTGTTAGTTAGTAGGTAGGACATACAGCTATAATACCACGGACCAGGCAAAGAAGTTGATGGAGTGAAACAGCCAAGAGAACAGAAGAAAATAAGGATGAGGTTTAGTCTTGATCCATGGAATCTCCTTGGGAGCAAAGGGACAAGATAGAGACAGACACATGGAAATGATGTGCATCAAAAACATATTAAGAAATTGTCCTTTATGGGATAAGATAATCAATGATGAGTTCAGTATTTGGGTCAGTGCTCATGTGGGTATCATAATGGGCTGTGGAAGTGACAGAGGTGTGGATGGACTTCAATAGGCAAAAGTGTTGCTTGATGAAGAGTGTGACAGATAAGCTAGGGATCTGGCTTCAAGAATACGAATCTCATCTGTGTGATTTCTCTACGACCCTTTGGCAGTGCTGGGAGAAGAAAGTGGAAGAATGGAGTGCTGTCTGAGGGTGGCATATTTGGGGAAGAGCACATAATTAACCCAGTGTCTGGAAGGCAGATGTGAAGGTGCATAACTAGAAGGCATAACCTGAGATACAACAAAGCTGTAAATCATCACGATCATAAATCACCAAGTCATAATTATCATGAATTATGACTTGAAGATGAGGTTATAGGAAGTTATTAACCTGGGTGGATAATTAGATAATTAAATGATACTAGCTAAAGATCATTCAAGCTGTTCTTATTTTACTCACCCGAGTCTTTCTCACATTGGGTCCGCCTTACTTGACATGATTCAGGATCCTAGACCCCTCTTCAACTATTAATACAAGCAATTCACTTTCTGCTTCTCAACAAATAATCCCCTCTCTGCTTCCTAGCTTCCATGAAATATCGTTTTGAGCCACCTGCTCCATGGCCACACTCTGAACTAAATCATTACCAACAGGTAATATCTTTATTTGAAATCCAACTTGTTATTACAAAGCTGGTGTTAAAATGCCAGAACATCCAGAGTGTACCATGGCAAAGACCCATGTGGGTTTAGTAGCTAGAATATTGTTTCATATTTGCTCCAATTTTTCTGTTTGATTTGCTTTTCAGACAAGGTATCTGTGTAGCCAGGTTGGCCTGAAACTCTCAATCCTCCTGTCTCAGAATCTTGAGTTCTGGGATTACAGAAATGCTGCCACAATGTAAAGCCTTTTCTAGTCTTTTACAGTAGGTACTATAGATACACTTGGAATTCTCTTTGTTTCCATCCCAAATCTTATTTTTCTGCCTCTCACTCCTACTCCCCCTCTCACTGGAAGTACCTTTCCACTCAGGCCTTATACTTTGCTGCACACCAATGTATTATTTTATGTTAACATTTATTAAAGAGCAAGCACAATTTCCTTATTCATTCTCTGTGGGCAAGTGATTTCTAAGTTTCTCATGTGGAAGTCACATCCTATAACTGTCCACATGTTAAGGCTTTCTAGGAACTACTGAAAGTGTCATTGTTGATCTGAAAGTATATATACACTACAGAGTGAGAGAGAAAGATCTGATTTTATTCTTTTACACATGGAAATCCAGATTTTGCTAGCATTGTTTCTTGGAAAGGCTGTTTTCCCAGTGTTTATGTTTGGCTTCTTTGCAAAGAGTCAAGTAGCTGTAGCTGCATGAGTTTATATCTGGGTGCCCAATTCTATTACATTCATTTGTGTGTCAATTTTGTTACAGTATTGTATTATTTTTATTTCTATGGTTCGGTGATATAACTTGAAATCAGATATGGTAATGTCTCCAGCAAAATACTCCAGCAAATTCCTTGATAATGAGGGTCTTTTGTGGTTTCATATGAATATTTGGATTTTTTTTTTCTGTGAAGAATGGAGTTGCACATTTGATTGTGAGTCTACTGAATCTGCAGACTGCTTTAGGTAGGATGATCGTTTTCATAATATTACATTTTCTGATCCATGTCCTGGGAGGTCTTTCCATATTTTAATGTCTCCTTGATTTATTTCTTTTAAAAATTTCATAATAGTTGTCTTTCTCTTCTTAAGCTAGGTTTTTTCCAAAGTACTTTACTTTGTTTGAATCTACTGTGAATGAGATTCCCCCTGATGTCTTTCTCAGTATATTTGTCACTGGTATACAGAAAAGATATTGATTTTATAAAGTTAATTTTGTATCCTGTTACTTTGCTGAAAGAGTGTCAGCTATAAGAGTTTTCTGATGAGATCTTCAGGGTCTCTTATGTATAGAGTCATATCATCTACAAATAAGGATACTTTGATTTCTTCTTTTCATATTTGTATATCTTTGATCTTGTCTTGTTGCTCTAGCTAAGACTACAAACACTATGCTAAAAAGGGTGAAGGAGTAGCCACTACTTAACTTTTGAATGGAAGTAACTTTAGAAAAATTAGTGAACTACATAAGATATCTAAGATGACATTAGCCAATTGATCACAAACTGTTAAATGGCTTTTAAAGAATAAGAAACCATTTTCCCCTATGTAAGAGCCCAAGTGTGTGTGTGTGTGTGTGTGTGTGTGTGTGTGTGTGTGTGTGTGTGTGTGTGTGTGATCTCTCCTGTATGGGGCAACTAGTGACACAGGCTCATCTCATTATGTGACTGTATCATCCCATTCAGCTTTAACATTTCCAAACTGTTAGTATTGGAGTGGGGAGAAATCTCCCAACTAGAACACATAATTGAATTGGCTAGAACTCAGTCACATGACTGCACCTCACTGCAAGGGGGACTGGGAAATGTGGTTGAAGATGTTGATCAAGAAGAGAATAGCATGGATGTGACCAAGCAGCTAGTAATCTCTGTCATAATTAATGTCTGAGAGCAAAAGATAAGGGAAGTCAGAGGAGACTGCTGAACCAGTTAAGGAAATATTACAACATTTCCAGTAGAAAAACATGATGGTCTAGCCGACTAAAGCTTCTAAGTCATAAGAAAATTAAAACAACAGAAATAGAGTGGAGAGTTTATGAAGCAGTGGTGGTAGCAAAAGAAATAACTAAGAGAAGGAAGAGAAGACTTGAGAGAAAGCACGAAGTTGTGTGTAACTGAGAAGCTGCCAAAGGGAAATGCATGAAGGAGACAGAGAAAGTCTACTTTGTGAATGGGATACCTGGGAGGAACATTCACTAGGCTTTTATTGGTGGGACTTGAATTCAGTGATCCTTATGACTTACTAGTCTTCCCATGCCATTGTATTGACTATATTTACTGGAGTAAGAGATCACCCTGTGTTTGGTCAAAAGAACAATGAGAAATTCTAGGCTAGTTTTTCCAAGAGGACATTTGGATTGGAGTACATGACTGAGTATTCCAAAAGACCGCCTGTCCTTACGATGGTTACTGAGACGAGTGTGATTCTGGCCTCTCTCTGAAGCTATAAAGCTCTAGAAACAGAGACTATGTCCTATATGTTGAATGAACAAGAAATAATTCAAATTTGTCCCATGTTTATGATTTTTCATCTGAGGCCAAACTGTAACATGAATCTTACAAGGTCTTATTAATAAAATCAAACCTGAAGCCAGGTATTGGGGTGAATGCTAGAAGATCAGAGAAGCAGAACAAGCCACAGCTTCCTCACCTCACCAATTCCTCAGCTGATCCTATTTCCTCAGACTGGAAGCCTCTGAGTCCAAATGGATCTCAGATGAACTGCTGCTCAAAAGCCTAAAAGCTTAACCAGGCTCTAGTTCCTGGTCCTCACGCCTTAAATACCTTTCTGCTTCCTGCCATCACTTCCTGGGATTAAAGGTGTGTGTTGCCATGTCTGGCTGTTTCCAGTGTGGCTTTAAACTCACAGAGATCCAGATGGATCTCTGCCTCCAGAATGCTAGGATTAAAGGTGTGTGTGCCACCATTTTCTGGCCTCTATATCTCGTGGCTGTTCTGTTCTCTAACCCCAGATAAGTTTATTAGGGTGCACAACATATTGGAGGACATAATATCATCACATTTCACCCTTTTTGTCTAAAATTAAAAAAGCTTATAACGAATACAAGAAAAACTATGTCCAATAAGTATATACAATATATACAGCCAAGAATTACATTAACAATGTCTAGTCCATTAACATTTGATAGATTCAGACAAAAAAACTCCTTTATATATATTAACAATGTCCAACCCATTAACATTTGACAAGTTCAGACAAAAAATTTTCATTACTTATCCTATTTAAAACAAGTAGCTCCTTTTAAAAAGTAGATTCAATAATTTCCCTTTTTATCTTATCACCAAACTATGAATCTAGATCATGCAATGTGAACTTTAATTATGAAGTAATCAATCTTAGATGGTGCTGTGGTGGTATTGGTAGGGAAAATAAACTCTTTTGATCACAAAGACCTTTGCTCTTAGACATGGTTATTCTTCATAAATAAATGACCATCTGTACCATTGATCAACAGGGGTTTCCCCAAATTATGTGGCTCTGAATTTCATGGACACACACACACACACACAGGTGGGAGAAAACTGTTGTATATAGGGAGTGGTAACACATGGATAATAATTGTACGAATGGTTCTGGGTTTGTATTTGTTTTCAGCTTGAAGGAACCATGAGAGAAGAGAACGAGTCTTCTACCACGGATTTCACTCTCCTGGGAGTTACAAGGCAGCCAGAGAAGGAATATTTCTTCTTCATCCTCTTCCTATTCATTTACCCCATCACAGTGATTGGAAACATGCTCATCATCCTAGCAATTCGCTCTGACACTCGCCTTCATAACCCCATGTACTTTTTCCTTGCCAACCTCTCCCTTGTTGACATCTTCTTTTCCTCTGTAACTATCCCCAAGATGTTGGCCAACCATCTCCTGGGTAGCAAAGTCATCTCCTTTGGGGGATGTCTGGCACAGATGTATTTCATGATAGCACTGGCAAACACAGACAGCTATATACTAGCTGCAATGGCATATGACAGAGCTGTGGCCATCAGCCGCCCACTTCATTATGCAACAATTATGAGTCCACGGCCTTGTGTCCTGCTGGTTGCTGGGTCCTGGGTGATTGGAAATGCCAATGCACTTCCCCATACCCTTCTCACAGCTAGCTTGTCCTTCTGTGGCAACAAAGATGTGGCCAACTTCTACTGTGACATTACTCCTTTGCTCCAGCTGTCCTGTTCTGACATCCGCTTCAATGTGAAGATGATGTACCTTGGGGTGGGCGTTTTCTCGGTGCCACTGCTGTGCATTGTCATCTCCTATGTCCGGGTCTTTTCCACAGTCTTACGGGCTCCATCCACCAAGGGCTTCCTCAAGGCCTTGTCCACCTGTGGCTCTCACCTGACAGTGGTGTCTTTGTATTACGGGACAGTGATGGGCATGTATTTCCGGCCCCTGAACAGTTACAATCTGAAGCATGCATTGATAACTGTGATGTACACAGCAGTGACCCCAATGCTGAACCCTTTCATCTACAGCCTGAGGAACCGGGACATGAAGGCTGCTCTGAGGAGACTCTTCTGTCACAGTGCTTCCTCATCCCCCATGTGAGACCTCACACTGTGGTTCCTCCATCAGAAGCCCTGGGAAATCCAGCTCCAATATCACCCCTGCAAGGAGCTGCCTGCCATCTTTCCAGCTTGAAATCCCTTCCTCAGGAGCATTCTCATGTTTTGAGGAAGCAACTCATGGAATGCACTAATTTCAATGCATTTCTGCTCCCTTGGGCAGACTGTAGCACTGGGGACAGTTCTCACCAGCCTGCTGACCAGAAGAGTGGAGTTGAGAGTACAAGCATTGACTTCAACATGGACAAAATAGGGCTGATACTATCTATTCTGCCTGTGTCACAGGATGTGGTCCCTGCAGCTCATGCTTTAAAGACTATAGATCACTGTTTGCATGCACATTTTATCCATTATGTTCAATCACTCCGTTTGGCTTATAAGCATGTGTGGGCAAGACCTGTGACAACATATGGCACTTTCTTCACAATCTTGGACATACAAAGTACATCAATAACTCTTAATGGATATGAAATAAGTGGATGAAAGTACTAGTTTGTGATTATGGCTAGAGATAACTAGACCTGGCATTATCTACCTATCCCAATAAATCTTTAAAGAACCAAACCTGGGGAAGTGTTTTTGTGCTTCTTTCACATTTAATATATTTCTAAGGCTCACCAGACTCCATAAAAATCTAAATAAAAAGAGAGCAATCATATTTATTATTTTTAAAAATAATTATTGTGTGTTTTAATTACCTCAGTGGAATTTTTGGTTAATTATAACATTAAAGAAAGATACAAGACTAAAGACTTGGGTGTCTTGTAAGAACTGAGGAAGTGTGAAGTGGCGGCACACACCTGTGTCCCCAGCACTTGTAAGGCTAGTCAAGAGGACCTTGAGTTTAAAGCCAGTGTAGGCTAAACTGAGAATTTGGGGCTAGCCTAAGACTTAGTAAGATACTGTCTCAAAAAATAAGTTATGCAATCAATACAAAACCAATGAATAGATAAATCTTTATGACTGAGAATGTAGGGAAACACAGGCAGACCCTAAAGAGAGAACTCTGAGGCTAGCAACGGGAAGGCTGAGGCCTTACTGGGCTGGAGGTGAGGACAAAGAGAGACGGAGATAGAGAGAGATGGACATCTGTGCTGTGCCAGTTGACTGGCAAAACAGACTAATTTAGTTAAATGAGAAGCAACTTTTAATTAGAGAATGAACTCACCTTGCCTTCTTCCCTTCTCTTAAGCTCTCCTGCAACTCTGCATCGATTATGCCCAACCAGAAGCCAGGGGATATGACAGCCTGTTGTTGAGTCCATATGGGTCAGTTTTCCAGAGCTCAGGCATGGTGGAGACAGAAGACTGGCGCAGAGTCTGTTAGTTCCTTCCCTCACTGCCATGACAAAATGTCAGATAGAAACAGTTAGGGAAGCAAAACTTAATCCCGGCGCATGGCTTCAGAAGTCGTGGTAACGGGAGTGGCTCCATGTTTAGTCAGGAGTACATGGGGGTGGTTCACTGGTGTGGAAGGGGAAGCAGAGAAACTGACTGGAACAAGAAGTGGGCCAAATCTTCAGAGAGGCCCCCTGTGCTGGCTGGTTTTGTGTGTCAACTTGACACAAGCTAGAGTCATCAGAGAGGAAGGAGCCTCAGTTGAGGAAATGGCTCCATGAGATCCAGCAGTAAGGTGTTTTCTCATTTAGTAATCAGTGGGGGAGGGCCCAGTCCATGGTGGGTGGGGCCATGCCTGGGCTGGTGGTCCTGGGTTCTATAAGAAAGCAGGCTGAGCAAGCTATGGGAAGCAAGCCAGGAAGCAGCACCCCTCCATGGCCTCTGCATCAGCTCCTGCCTCCAGGATCCTACCTGGTTTGAGTTTCTGTTCTGACTTCCTTCAATAATAAATAGCAATATGGAAGTGTAAGTCAAATAAAGCATTTCCTCCCCAACTTGCCACTGGGGTGATGCCAACCTGAGTGGCCTGTGCTGCCACCTGGGGCCATAGTCGCATCTGGGCCTGAGCTGTTTCTGAGGACCGTGTCTGGGTCTGTGATTCTATAGCAGCTGGGTTCTGTGATAATGCCCATGGCCTGTGTTGCCACCAAGGGCCACACAGATGCCAGGGTTCTGGCTCACTAAATGTGTCCATGATGGAGACCGATGGATGTGCCATGGCTGGGGCCATGACAATCTGGGTGGCCTGCAGTGCCACAAGTTACCATGGTGTCAACCAGGCTCAAGCTGCTGCCAGGGGTCATGTCTGGGTCCAAGGCTTTACTGCAGTCAGGTTCTGGGTTGATGTCAGTGGCTCCTGTTACCACTGAAGGCTGTGCAGATGCCTGGGGTATGGGCTGATACCTGAGGCCATGTTGCTGTCCAAAGGTCACGAGGCCACCATGGTCATACAGATCTGAGTACCCTGCACAGCAACCCGGGGCCATGGAGACACCCTGGCCTGAGCTGCAGCCATGATCTGTGTTGATATACATGGTTCCTGGTACCAGCAAAGGCCAGGTGAATGCCTTAGATCTGGGTCATGACCTGGGGTCATGCTGTTGTCCAAGGGCCACCTTACAGCTGGAGAATGCCAAATTGAGTGAGCTGTGTAGCCACCTGAGGCAATAGTGACATCTAGGTCTGGGATGCCACTAAGGACCATGTCTTGGTCTATGGTTCTACAACTTGACTCTGTGTTTATGTCCATGGCCCATATTGTCACCAAAGGTCACAAGAACGCCTGACTTCTGGGCTGCAACCTGTGATCATGTTGGAGTCTGAGGGACATGTTGCTGCTGGGACCATGCCAACCTCAGGGGCTTGTGCTGCCACCTGTGGTCATGGGGTTGTCCTAGCCTGAAATGCTATTGAGGGCCATGACTGAGTCTGTGGCTGAACTGCAGCCAGAGTGCTGTGGGATGTTCTGTATGGCAAATGTGTTGCTGATTAGTCATTAAATAAAACACTGATTGGCCATTGGCTAGGCAGGAAGTGTAGGCGGGACAAGGAGGAGAATAAAGCTGGGAAGTGGAAGGCTGAGTCAGAGAGACACTGCCAGCCGCCACGATGAGAAACAGCATGTGAAGATGCCGGTAAGCCACGAGCCATGTGGCAAGGTATAGATTTATGGAAATGGATTAATTTAAGTTGTAAGAACAGTTAGCAAGAAGCCTGCCACGGCCATACAGTTTGAAACCAATATAAGTCTCTGTGTTTACTTGGTTGGGTTTGAGAGGCTGTGGGACTGGCAGGTGAGAGAGATTTGTTCTGACTGTGGGCCAGGCAGGAAAACTTAAGCTACACCAGAGTCTCTGTCTATGTCCAAGGCTTTGGTTACCATCAAAGATAATGCAGATGCCCAGAGTCCAGGCTGGCACCTGAGGCCCTCTTGGTGCTAAGGGTCATACTATCACCAAGACCATGCAGATCAGGGTGGCCTGTGCTGACATCTGGGGTCATATTGATACCTAGGCCCAAGCTGTGGCTGGGGGCCATTTCTGGGTCTATGGCCCTGCTGTAGCCAGAGCTGTGTTGAGGTCTGTGGCTCCCATTGCCATTGGGGGCTGCTTGACTGCCTGGGGTCTGAACCACCACATGGAGCCAAGTTGGATCCAGGGGACCATGCTGCTGCTGGGTCCATCAGGATCTGAGATGACTGTATTACCACCCAGGGTCATGGTGACATCTGGCCCTAAGCTGCTGCTGCTGACCATGTCTGGGTCTGTGGTCTTGCATCAGCTGGGGTCTGTGGGTGTCAATTGCCCATGTTGTGACAGGGGCCCATGCAAATCCCATGTTGAACCATGTGTTGAAGTACAAGGGCCCTGCTGAGCTAGCCCTACCCCTCACTGGCCCAGAGTGACTCACCCCTACCACAGGAGAGCTGACCCTGAACCTCCCTGGCCCTGGGATAATGGACCCTGATGACCCTGACATGGGAAAGCTGGTCCTGCCCCCTCATAGAAGAACTGGCCCCCCAAATATGGGAAAGCTCGCTCTACTCTTCACTACGGGCCTGAAAGAGCTGGCTCTGTTCCTTACCCGAGAGGAGTGGTTCCAGTGGCCTGGACTGAATAACTCAGCTGCCAGGCAGGCACACATCCAGGTCTTGGAGTTGGCACACCCCAATATCTACCCCATCTATGACCTGCTGGAGTGTGTGAAAGGAGCTGATCCTGTAGAACCATAGTCATAGGACCTCCATGACTTGGGGCAATAACAGGATATCAGAGAGGAATTTTGGTGGGGGTCCAGTATTGATGGTGTACCAGAAGCTGCCTTGAACCAGACCAACAATTTATTACACAATGAACATTTGCAAGTAAAGTTATTTGGACAAAAGTGTGTACTGCAGCTCCCAATGCTGCCAAGATGAATGAAGAGATAATGAAGAGGTGTGAAAGATGAGAAGCCAAGTGTTTTTCTTTTTTTCTTATTGTTTATTTTTTATCTTATTTTTATTTATTTTTATTTTTTCTTTGAGGGGGGCACTACAAGAGTGAGGGGTGGATATGGAGGGACTGGGAGAGGAGTGGGATCAGGGTGCATGATGTGAAATTCCCAAAGAATCAATGATCAAAAATGCTTGTACACATGCATACATGCACCCGCATAGACACCTACATGCACATGCTGTCATACTTTGTTCTCAGTCATTCTAGTCTCCATCATTCATCATTAAAAATTGTGATGCTCTTTCTTTTTCCTTTTGAAATGTACAGTGATTGGGAAGGATCTTCCCTGAGGACTAGCTCTCATATTATGGGATGGTGTTATGCAAGATGAAAGGGAGAAAAGCAATCAGAAGTCTTACCCAGCTGTAAAGCCTATAAACTACAACATTGACTGGGCCTGCAAGATACAACCAATGGTAACCAATAGCCACCTAATTGGACTTAAGACCCACTTAGCCAGAGGGCTCAGGAGGAGAGGAACTTCAAGGAGGGAGAAAGACACAAGGAAATGGAGCAAGGGGTGCCATGCAGGTAGATGTAGGTGGTGGCTACATGAGGAACTTTAGGATTGGGTGGTATGAGATTTAGGTGTAAAATGCCCCTTTCAGGTCCATGTGTTTGAATGCTGTGTCCCCAGCTGCTGGCATTATTTTGGAAGGTTATGGAACACATCTACTCACCCCAGATAGGGAACACATGACAGACCAAGGTATGGATACCACAATAGTCCAAGTTGGTGAACCAATTAATTTTACTGGGGTTTGTTGTGCTTTGAATAGGAATGGTCCCCATAGACTTATGCTTGGACCATAGGGAGTGCCACTATTAGGAGGTGTGGCCCTATTGGAGGAAGTGTGTCACTGTGGAGGCAGGCTTTGAGGTCTTATATGCTCAAACTACACCCAGTGTGGCACACGGTCTCCATCTGCTGCCTGGGAATCAAAATGTAGAACTCTAAGCTTCTTCTCTAGCACATGTCTGCCTGCACACTGCTATGCTTCCTACCATGATAATGGGATAAACCTCTGAAACTATAAACCAGCCCCAATGAAATGTTTTCCTTTATAAGAGTTGCAGTGATCATGGTGTCTCTTCACAG